TGATGTTGGATCTTACCTACTGACTGGAAATGGGCATTAGGCTTCAATAAATCGAGTGGTACACAGCCACTATAGCTCAAACGATTAGTTGAGTGATGGATTAGTCCTGTGGTCCCTAACACGATAAATCTGAGCGGTCACCAGATAATTAAACTAATGAGAAAAAATATGCATTCAAATTATGTTCATTGTTTTTGTAGAATTCTTTTACAATTCTTTAGCTTTTTATCTTGTGAGTTAAAATGATACTTCTCCTCAGGCCTCTGAAAACCTTTTAAATTAAACATTTTGAGAGGGAAAAAAAATCCCCCTTTGGTTGTTTAACAGTTTTAATGTATGTTCACAAATAGGCCAAAACCTGTGATGAGGGTTCACAAGTAGACATTACTTCATTTAAAAAGTCCCAAGACAAACTGGTTGGGGAACAACTTTGATAATTGATATGACGTACTTTCTCTAGTTTTTCAAATGTTAGCTGAAATGTGCGGATTTTTAACTGAATAATATTTGGTTAGACAAGACAGCAAAGCTGAAGACATCACCTTGAGCTCAGGGTAGTTGTTAGGTGCATATTTCATTCTTTTTTCATGTTTTAGAGGCTAAATAATTAACAGATTATTTAAAACAATGCCTGTATTGTGGTCCATGCAGTGGACACTTGGTCTGCATCTGAATATGAACCACAGCGATAATTACAATCACACTTACTGTGGGCATGCTGTTGATCTGATCCAGAGTCAGCTGCAGCAGTTGCTCATCACCGCTCTCTGCCATCAGTTTTAGTGCAGGCTGCTGGAGGCCCAGCTGGTTTTGGAGCAGCAGGGTGGTTATATGTCTGATACACTGAAAAGAGAGAGAGAGAGGGAGATGAGGGAGAGAGAAGAGAAGAGAAGAGAGAGAGAGAGAGAAAGAGAGAGAGAGAGAGAGAGAGAAAGTCGGAAAGATGGATAGATGGATGAATAGATGTGTGGATGAATGGAAGAAAGGAGGAAGGGGAGAGATAAAAGCAACAGTGGGATGAATATGGGGAAAGGTAATAAGAAGACAGAGTAGAAAAGAACAAGGCAGAACAAAAGGGGAGCGCAAAAGACAGAGGGGAGAGAGTAGGCGAGGAACACTGAAGGTTAATCGATGTGCATATACTGTACAGACATGCAGGAACATAATACTTTTAAAAAGGTCTACACACAAACACACACACACACACACACACACCAGACACACAGTACTGCTGCAGTCCTATCCAGTAATATATGGATATCACAATGCAATCTGACTCCCCCATGCTCTGGCGGTTTCATTCCAGCAGATTCAAATTAAAGCTGTTCAGTACAGAGTAAAAGGCCTCCTTCTCCGCCTCCCACCCCCTTCCCACACTAATATTAGACAGCCAGGCAGACACTAGCCTATTCACACTGAATAGCATTAGCGCTAAACTAATATCACAGTCAGCTGGCGCTAGACATACAGAATGGCATTAGGCTTACCACTTCCATGGTGCTCAGCAGGGCATGAATAGCATTCGGGGCCGTCTGATATCAAAGAGCGACTAGTGCCTATAGTTCATTGCAAAAAGCACTGAGCTGATGCTAACATGTTGCTGTGGGTTACATGTTTAACAGCTTTGGTCTGCTCTATTAAGATACGGTGTAAAAAGGTGGCACTGCATTGAGGTTACACTAAATTCACACAAGCTTAGTCCCTTATTTTAACAGTGGTGATACAGTAGTAGATGAGTGGAAAATATTAATATTGTAGCTCATTAGGTTTGAGCTAAGTTTCACTATTTTATATACTGTCTATCTACAACAATTCTCTGTATTTTTAATGAACTAAAATGATGAACTGTAAAGTAACTAGTGACTGTAACTGCATTTCCCACATGATAAGGGTGCAGTAGAAGTATAGATTAGAATAAAATGAATGTAAAGTTCCTAATAATTGTACTTTCCACCACTGTTATATTGCATGAAACTGAAACAATATTTTCCTGCTTGCATTTACTTTTTACAGATTCAGTCATTGTAAACAGGTGAAATTCATTTTGTGGACACTAATTCGGTCTACTGTTCAGAAAACACGAGCAATCGTAGACAATCATCCAAGGAGTGTTTGCTGCTTACCTGTATAGGAAGCTTGTGTTTGGTGTTATAGAGAGATCGCACCATGGTGACGACCTGCTGACCCAGGTCTAATTTGACCCCTGACCCTTGGCAGTGGGTCAGCAGGGCTGAAGTCAGCACCACCCACGGGTTACGCTCCGACTGTGCCCTGGAGACAGAGAGCAAGACGGACCTATGAATATGAATGTGTGTGCTTGTATGTAGAGCTTATCTTTTCTGAGGTGAACACAGAGTGAAGAACATAGACTGTGAATGTACATAAGTACACATGTGCTATATTAGTGAGTATGTTAAGAACAACAGAAGAAGGCAGAAACATACAGTGTATAGTAAAACCAAAACAATATTACAGCATGTAAAACTTATTCATGACTCTTTGTGTCATTTGTTAGACAATGACTGGGTCACAGCAGTTGACGACAGTATGTACCATAATGCAGGAAAATGTACATTATGAATAATATAAATAGCCACATATGAATAACAGCAACAACCTAACATCAAATCACAGGCTGACGTGAGCGACAGCAGAACTATCAAGAGGTTCGCAGACGATCTAATGGATTCTGACATTGGCATGTAAGTGAGGACTAAAGATGGTTGACCACAATACTTTTTTTTTTTTTTAAATACTATTTAATATTTAACACCTACATGCTGCATTGTTTCTCTCTCTCTCTCTCTCTCTCTTTCTGCGTGAACACCAGGGGGACAGCTGTCAGCTGTGACAGGAGTCACTTTGTTTGCTAATGCCTCCAGAGTGATTACGATTAGCTCCCACCAAGGCCGGGAAATGCCAATGATGCTAAGGCAACATGACCTTCACAGATCTTTATTAATACATATCAGTTATAGTAAGGGGGAAAAAAGATGGAAACCACATCACGACTCATTATCTGTTAATTAGATCTTAGATGACGGATGAATCCTGTTTAAATTATTAATTTTATTATTATTATCATCAATTGCAAAAAGTCAGTGCTATCTGAGAGCCGTCTAACTGCTGAGTAAAACTAATATTAGTTGTTATGGAAGCAATAGCAAAGCCAAAGGCCTCATTGTATCTGTGTCAAACCTCAAGAAGACAAACCATACTCTTGAGCCCTACTGTGGCTGTTAATATACACATAATAAATGCATTAAACTTAGTTAGAATAGTGGATTGAAGACAGGCGTTACATGCTAGCACTGCTGGAAGTTACGTACGTGATTAACATGACAAGCATAAAACAATGAGAAGACAGGAGAAGATTGGAGATGAGAGGAGGAATCTGATATGAACACTTGCTTTGTTTCACTCTGGGTGTTTTCCCATGATAAAGTACAGATGGTAACATGCTGATAAATCCAAAGTTAAATGATGAGAAATAAAAAATATGTCAAGTGGTTGAAGCCGGATGTCAGATTAGGCTGCTCAAGTCTTAAGTCAGCGGGTTAGAGGAAGGAGACCCCGGGGTGAGAGCCTGTGTTTGTGCGCCTATGTATATCTGCCGAAGAGGAGAGAGTGTGTGTGTGTGATAGAAAGAGCTGGTAAGTGAGAAAGAGAGGATGGAGAGGAAAGAGGTGAAGAAAGAAAGACAGCAGGGAGAACAGCAGGGCTCCTGTGTGTGACTGTCAGTAGAAAAGGCAGCTCTCCATCCAGCTACCGGGGCGTCTTGTCCTGACAAGCTGCTTCACCTTCGGATGATGCGGCCATGGGAACAAACAAGAGTCCACTTGTACTGCTGGCACAGTGCTGCTTCCTGTGCTTTACCAGGGTACAGGGAGGTACTGCTGCATGCGACGACGAGTGCCTGTGCGCTCGCCAAATCTGTCACAGGGTGCAGTGTGAGTCACAGCCAGCCTCCATTCGTGCTTTGAATCATGACTCAGTTTATGCGGACAGACTAAAGGATAAGCTTTTTAGATGCAACTCAATATAGCTCCCAGAACAGCCTCTTGTAGTCTTACAGAAACAAATCTCCACTTTAAGACACACACACACACACAAACACACGCACACACACACAAACACACGCAAACATTAAACAGACTTCCATCCAAACCAGGATTAAATGCTGAGTAATAGTAAAGGTTAACCATGTGTCTCAGACACCAAGAGATAACGCCCTCAAGTCTTAACAGAACATCTTAAATGAGGCATTTGAAGGTTAAGTTATTCTGAGTTTTGTGTCCCAAATTATGACTGCTGGATGTAGCAGCCATTTCACATAAAACGCACACTAAACACAGATCAGAACTAAATTTCAGGCTTATGTGCTTCAAAGAGGCACATTACAGCGTACTGCAGTCAGTGTATGTATGCATGTCGCAGCAAATTAACTTGAGCGATTTAAATGAGGACGACTTAAGAGACGAGAAGAAACAAAATCCATAATCAGGAGCGGACTTTGTGCTCAGTGTTATGTTTGCATTTCAATCTCAAATACCGTACAACAGCTCAGTCTGCAGTTAAAAGAAATGATTATAGCCGAATGTCCCAGCAGTGATGGTTTGACTACAGCTGTTACACTCACAAAGTCAGTCGAGTGTTAGTGAAATCCGGGGTTGAACTTGAAGCAGCTGCCTCGTCCAAACCTAATCCCCATCTCTCCCACCGCTTCTCAGTTGAATGCCACTCCGCCAGACGAGACACTGGTTTTACGCAATCCCAGTTATTTGTCCGTTACATATACAATGATGAATAATAACTATTTTCACAATGATCCTTTTTATCCTGTTTGTTGATCTGCCACAACTCTTAAAATTATTTTTGAAAACTTTAATCGCCTCCCTTTCAGTAATTTTCACCTCCGCACTAAACTGCTTTCCCTTACATGGAATCAGACGATACCAGCCTGAAAATGGCAACACTTTGTCTTCTATCCTGTGTAGAGCAAAGAAAAAACAAATAGATTATGCATCTAATAGCCTGTTCCACATTAAGAACTTTTTCCAGTGACATAGGAACTATTTCAGGACTTAATTTACACTTTATTTAGCTACAATTTAAACGTAGTACCTCAGGAGAAGTTACTGGCCCAAAAAACCTGTTCTGTGGGTACCACTTTATGCTTCGCCCCATGAACTATCGAGGCAGGGTCTGCTGTGCTGAATGTTGCTGGCTGGTCAAACAAAGTCACAGCGGCTGCTACACCTTGTGTGCAGCATCATTTAAACAACATATAGTGCTGGGGAAAGCATGTGTAAAATTAAATAACCACCAAACCTCTGCATGTCTCTTTTGTTTCCATTAATTGCTTCCAATGAAACATCAAAGTCTTTCCACCGTAAATACAAAAAAAACAATTAGTCTCATTTGCCTAATCTTCACAGTTCTTCAGATGTGGTGATTATGCAAACAGGGATGCACAAAAATTCATGATTTTAGGACCTGGAACTATTAGGTTTAAGAGGGGCTCAAGACACTCACAAGGTCCCGACAGGGCCACTACCTATGACATTGGTGAGTAATGCCATTGTTGGTGACGTTCCTGATCATGGAAGCCCAACTTTGGCCCCTCCTGCCTGATCCCCTTTTACATTTCAGGCAGGTTGTGCAGTCACAGCAGGACTGTGATGTCCTAATCTGGCATAGTGATCATATGGACAGACTAAATATTGAGCAGTCTGATCCTGGCATAATGTTTATTCTAGATCAAAAGAGCAAGCATCCCATCAGGCAGGTTGTGTTTGCCTTTAAACTGATGCATTAGTAATGAACACATGTGAATCTTATTCATCAACAAACAAAGTCATCAGAGTGTATAAAGATGACTTATACACACAACTTTGTGTACATCCTTGTGGGTTTCTAACAACTACTGGAGAAGAACTACTTTAAATTGTTGATCGAAACAGTCTGCTTTGATTGTGGTGGAAGGATAAACTCCTGATTGAACAACCCTGTATTGTCTCTCCTGTCCTCCGAGCACTGCTCACTTTTAATCAAGAACAATGGAGCAGGAGAAGAGCAATCACATCATTATCTTATCGATAATAAAGCCAGCACACTAAGGCTCATAAGACACAAGCTGGCGCAAGAAGCCTGAAGCTTTGAGAGACGCCTGCTTTCATTTCTAACTTTAAAAGTCTAATACGTGCACCTGAGTGATTAGAGGCACTATTCTCCATTCCAGCTCTTAGTGAAATGAAAACACATTAAACAGAAGTTGCCATTAAAATGTCAGTGTCTTCATGTGTCCATGATTTCGTTAATAAACAAACTACAGTATAAACCTTGTTGAAAGAGTCTTTGGTTTACTGTTAAGCACCACAACACACTCAAGATTCACTTAATTTAACCGTGGATAGGAGGCTGCTTCAACCGAAACTAGAGAAATAGCACTCACTTTACCTTTTGACTTTAAAACTGACATTCAGTGAAGATGCTGAGAGGGCACCAATGCATTAAGAGGAGAGGTTGAAAGAGTGAGAATTAAATGAGGTGAAAGAGGAGAGAGTATAGAAAGAAAGTAAAGCAGCTACACTGTTGGTATTCTGCACATAATCTGTATTAAAAGGACATTTGCATTTTTCATCTTCAAAAACCTGTCAAATAAAATATAGATTTGTGAGGTTTCTTTAAATCCTGTATGAATGTGTGAAAGATATAGTTGCTAATGAGCTGTAAACATAGTGTTGTGAACAAATCAAGGAGGCTTCAGTAATTACTGTACTACTTACAGGAATAGTTTTGACATTTTGGCAAATATGCTTATTGGCTTCATTGCCAAGAGGTAGATGAGAAGATCAAGACCACGCTCATATCTTTACATTAAATATAAGGCTACGGCCAGCAGCCTGTTAGCTTAGCTTAGCATTAAGACTGAAGTAAATTGGGGGAAACAGCTAGCCAGACTCTCCCTGGGTAGGTAGTAGTCCAGCACAACAACTAGTTGTTGTTACACTCCTCCTCCTTTTTCCAGTCTTTGTTGTAAGCTAAGCTCACTGGCTGCTGGCAGGAGCTTCATATTTATCAACATGAGAATGGTATCAAACTACTTTAACTCTCAGCAAAAACAGGAGTAAGTCGAACTATTGCTTTAACCTTGAAAGAATAAAATAACAGTTAAAAGAAATAAAGACGTTTGTCTTACACTTCGTCTTTCATCATGGGGGGCCAAGCTTGTAGAAGGAGCATGAGCAGCTGAAAGTCTTCCCACTTTTGTGCAGCTTCCAGCAGCTCCAGGAAGAGGGCGTATCTTTTCTCCTCATTCTCCACATCTTCTATCTCCACCTGAGAGGAAGGGAGCAGAGAAAGGCAAATCAGTTTGATACCAAAAAGCGAAAGGCCTTTCTACTGTGAGGATCTTGATTATAAGATATCCCCTGGTCATTCAGCACTAAGCACAATTTAGGTGAATGAGGAGTGTTCAGAAAAGAGTAACCATCTGTTTCTTTCTAATTCTGCTACATATGCAATGTCATGGCAAAAATGTAATGATAAATGGCAGCATTAACACTGAGAAGTGGATTTCAGTGATCTATTATCTTGGCCACATCCACCAGACACTATCCAACACAAATGCAACAGAAAAGCGAAAAAGTGAAGCTTTCATTGATTTAAAATGAAGCATGCTCTCAATTGTGATGGTAAAACCCGACAACCTAATGATTGCAGTAGGGTTTGTGGGAAAGGCATTCCTGCCAAAACAGGACCCGAATGAACTGAGCAATCAGAAACACTCAATCTAGACGAGTATCAAAGCCTTCAAACTTCAAACAAGGCACTGAAAGGAAGGAACAAGGCTTCACGGCACATTTAAGTGTTGGTTTAAAAAACGTCACCTGTGGCTAAACTTATTCTATACTATTATAAGAGAGAAGTTCAGAGGGGGAGTGAAAGAAAATAGAGTGAAAAGGAATGAAGGAGGGTTAATGTGGAAAAAATGAGAGGAGGAGGAGGCGGAGGGAAAGTAATTAATTTTCTTCTCAAAGGCTGGCTTCTAGTGTGATTTAACAGTTCAGAGAGCGGCTGATTTCTGAGGGGAAAACTACAACCTGCCAAAGCACGGCTGCTGCAAAGACAGGCGTCGTCACATACGCACGCATACATAGTGCGCAAAGCGCACACAACACACACAACATCACCCCACAACACACACACACACCACACACACACACACATACATACGTACATCACTTTCAGCCAGACTCATAAAACATAGTTTCAGCATCAGTGGAGTGATATTTCATCAATATAAAGGTGTATACACAGTCTAATTTAAACATTAAAAAAAAAAGTGAATAAACCTGTAAATACAAACCTCATCTTTAAACCTTTATTTTTTAAATCTTCGGATGCTGGGTTAGTACAGAAACTCTCTGTGCACTTCTATCAGTACCGTTGAAGATCTGGCTCCAAAGTATTCATTTTTGGAAAATACCTTTCCAGATCTCAAAAACCACCACAAAAACTCAAACACAAAAATTAGTAATGTTGGAATAAATGCTTTGACAGCAATAGGCAATGCTGAATAAATGTGCAAATGCCAGAATGCTGGGGATTGGAGCTCCTGTGGCCGCAAGGGCCGCATGCCCTGCTGCATGTTGCATCTACATAACTGTGGTGCACCACTAGATCGCAAAGCCTTTAAACGAAACATATACCCAAGAGATATTTGAAAAGCCACAGTGGAACGCTGCAGGTGAGTTGTTTTATGCTGTGTAGGTCATTGTGCAGGCAAAAGCGAATAAAGTTCAATTTTGCTAGTTCCTTGGCAACTACTGGAGGCACATAAATGTGCATTTTAGAACCACATGCCACTGCTTGAATTCTGATGAGGCAGAAATATACAGGCACTTATTTTAGTGATTTGAATTGGCTACAAAGTCCATTAGACATACTGTAGATTCAGCCAGTAGCTGATATATGCACCCCTTCCATAAGAACACATGCACTTTTGATGGACAGGGGTATTCAGATGGCCACACAAAAGATTGATTGATTTATTTACAAAATTGATAGAAACAATAGTAGAAATTAATGTTTTATGGGTTTCTTTCATTTTTCAAAAATCTGAATCCTTCTTTTTTCTAATGGTCATTGTGTCCTATTTAGCCTCTAAACTGACAAAATATCAGAAAAGGTTATCAGACGAGTCACAAATATAATAGAATATATCAATAAATAATTGAAATGAAGTGTAAAAAGAAATAGAAACCTACCTAAATGTTAATCATCCAATCATACTGCACCCCTTTATAAACTCTTGTAACAATAAGTAAAAAGATTTGTTTTTATACTCCATTGAATGGTCTGACAACTTTAACTTCCTTTCATCAGTTGTGGGGATCCATATAATCCACTTGCTCTCATAATTGTGTTACAATGGACCAGCACTGGGTGCAATGAATGGCTGGCAATTAAGCAGTATTCGGCTGATTTCCTCAATAAAGAATTTGGTATTCCAACTGATTCTGAGACATCTGAGGTGTGAAGCTCATTCATAAGAAACAGCACATGCAAATATCTGGCAGCACAGCAGATCCATGCTTAGTGGTGTACTGAAGCGACTTATAATGGGGGATGGAGCAATAAATGAGTAAAGCTGAAGCTCAGGGCCCTCTGAAAATGGAGGTCATTTGGGAAACAGAAATGGAATCTTAACTACCTGTAAAAAGCCCTCACTGCAATCTATAGCTCTCAAATCCATCGCTGAATGTAAACTGCAACCCAAAGCCTGTTCATCATTGTTATTGCCTTACTGTGTTATGAGTACTGAATACTGAAGCATTTTATGAAGTTTTATGGCCACATTTATTCATTATGTTTGAAAATCCAAGGGTATATACGTCCTTGGGATTCCCTGATTATATTCTGATTGCAGGTTATATACAACACATCACAAACTGCTCTTCGACACATCCCCATATGCAGTATTTTCACATACACACCTACAAACCACATCTTCTCACCTGCTTGCACACACAGACGTGCACACGCTCATCAAAACTCACCTACAGTAGAGCACAAATTAAATCGCTGCCAATTACTATGCGGCTGTGAGGCTTTTATTTTCTTAACAAGGTAGGATGGTAATTAATTATGCCTAGTGATTAAAATCAACATTTCCTCTGTGGTGTTACTGGTACAAAGAACAGAGGGCAGGAGATGACACTGTCAGCCAATACCACAACACTTAGCAGAGAAGGGCTGACAAATTAGATCAGACACACGGTCTTCTCAGTCATCTAAATACACAGATGGGTGACAAATTAAAGGAACAACCTAAATGAATGAGTAGAGAAACATGACAAATGCAGCTGATTTCATACAGGGCATGAGGGGTCACTGAATAGTTTGATGAAAAT